CAGCAAAAACAGAAAATCTTCTGCATGAAACTATACGCTTGTAGCTCTATCGATAGAGGCCAACGGTTTATCTAGTGTCGATAGAATTTGCGGCATTGACATACCACCCGAAACAACAATCTCTGCAGATGAAAAATGAATATAAAAAGTTCAGTAGCTTTCCACAAACAAAGTTGAATGTTATACACCAAAACATATATCTTAGGGCAGACATTTACGATACAACAAATCTAGGATAGACTATGAACAAAAAAGGCTACGTGATCTCACCTATTCCTTCCCTGACTGAGAGATTTGGCCTGATGACATCATTACTGTTGACAAGGAGTATATCTCCAATGTAAAGGTGGTTCGTGGGAACATATACACAGCAAAGTTCCTCCTCGGTTGGGTAATTCTGCAAGGACGAAGAGCATTATTACATACAGTAACCAAAGGATCTAATTATAATCAATCATGCCCTTTGTATCCTTATGGAGAAGTTTCGAAAATAATAACTAAATCCAAGCATTTTCAGTCACCTGGAGAACAACAGTTGATGTAATGAAGCCAAAAGCGTATTCGCCTATACGTGGATGCCTGATGATTGCAACTTCTTTGAAAGCTTGTGTGTTTTGATCTGAAAGTAGAAGAATGAGTATGAACAAGTTGAGAGTGGAAAATTCAATCAACTTATAATGTTGAGATGCAAAAAAATATTATTTTTCAAGCAAGACCAGGCGATATGGCAGAGCTGATTTGCTTGGAGGCGTTGTAGATGTGACGAACAAATGGCATCCGCTTGATAAACCACTCTCCTAGATTCAGAACTGATGCCCCCAACCACGAAGACATGAACACCCCAACCAAGAAGATGAATGCAATTGAAGTCAAAAAACCAAAACCTACAAAACCGTAAACAGACTCATGTGAGAAACCGATATCAAGTTTGTTGATTAAATAAAGAGAAGCCCACACACATGCTTACCAAAGATGTTGATCCCAAGTTGTGCATATATTGGAGAGAAGAATCCATCAACAAAGTGAATAAACCACCATGTTATATAGAAAGTAATCGCAATAGGAAGCAGGATAACACTGCACACAAGCAATTGAGATTCAAAATGACAAATCACAACTCTTGTTTACAAGATCCGAAACAAGTGAAGAAATGCTTACCAGCCTGTCATGAACTTCTTCGATGCCCAGNCCCTAATGAACAAGCTTAAAGTCTGCAGAACAATAAAGAAAGATACCGTGAATGCGCATAACTCGAAAAAAGATTCATGGATACAAGATTTCTCCAAGTTCCAACCAAAACACTTGGAATAATGCAAATTCATACTCTAATGAATCAGAAAGTGTCAAATGTTAAGCATCAAGATCAGTGATTGGCTAGTTAACACACTATCAGGAAGTGTTCTTGATGCTAGGGCAAAACAAATCCCCAGATTTTGAACTAAAGACACAATCGGCCAAATCTATGAACATTAAAATCCAAAAAGGAACTCAGAGCTTAAAATCTATCAAGTTCTACTGCTAATTTCGTACGAATCTTGAAACGAGTACACGAAGAACTAGATCAGGGGAAAAAGAACCTCGTGACTAGCTTGATGC